AGAATATCCCAGACTTCTCAGCACCCCGTTGCTTGTTCACCTTTCCCCAGTCGGAATAGGTATGCATTTCATTTCAGAGTTTCTCTTATTTTTAATATATTTCCATAACTCGTTCTCGATGCCGTTTACGTTCTGGTTTGCTGTGCAGCCATTCTCTCATCACCCCCGTACGGTTTTGCTCCTGCTTTACAAGCCTGGCTCTCGCAGTTCGCACCAGTCCTGTGAGTTTTCCGGCCGCTCCTGAGGCAATCGAAGGTCTCTGTGCTCCGTGTCCTCCTTTGACACCGGAGAGTCTGTCGCTGAGGCTGGGTGAGAACTGCCCTCCCGAACCCGCTGTTCCCACCGCCCGCTCTGCACGAGGGCGCGCGTACGTCGGGGCACGCCTGGGCAGCGCGGTGCTGGCGCCGGCACGGTCCGTGTTTCCCACGGGAGCTCCGGGGGCTGGTGCAGAGCAGGGCTGCCCTGAGTCTCACCCACTGTTGGCTTTTTTTTTCCAGCAGTGTACGTTCAGGGTCGCTAAGCCAAGTGCATGTGTTTGCTGTTAGCACAAATTAACAGACAAAATGAGTTAATTAGAACTAAACATTAAACTAATTGCTTCCTGTTCCAAACGCTTTGAAGTAAATGCAGTACATGAGATTTTTCTCTTCTTGGTTCCTTTTTCCTACCAAGTGTTGGTGTTTGGCAGTGCTGGAAAGATGTTTTCTTCCCAAAATGTAAATAATTTCCATGGAAAATCTCATCTTTTCCACTCTTCAGGAAACTAACGTCAAGTTTCTCTCTTCCACCTTCCTGCCCTGCCGAAGGTGGCTGATGGGGGTGAACTCTGCAGAAGCCCGGCCTGAGCCCTGGCCGCTGACACGGGTGGGTTTGGGGAGGTGGTTTTATCTCCTTCCACAGAAAAAGGCAGGCAAAGCCTGAAGGGGTCACTGGCACAAAAGCACCGTCTCCCATGAGGTCAGCGGGCTTTGGTGGCTATGCCTTGGAAAAGCTGCAACGCAGGGTCCTGTGCACGAGACCGCAGCGCCTGCAGCCGACAGACAAAATCCCACGTTTGTCCATGGGCGATGCAGAGCCAGCAGCCCTCACTCCTGATGCCCCCCCGCATGCCTGCCCTTGTATCAGCGCAGCAGAGCTCTGCTGGAATGGGACCCTGCTCTCCGTGGTGCCCACTCATCTTGGCCAGCAGACCGGAGCTGGACACGCTGGGTTTGAGGTGCTCGGCCGGGGATGATGCTCCTCTGCCTGCCACGGATGGAGTTCCTCTGCCAGCTGCAAAGGGTTTTCCTGCAGTTCCCACATGTGACGATGTGGTACGATTCAAGAAGAGAGCAAGATCTGCAGCTCCAACAGTTCCAATAGTTGGAACATGTACCACTGTCTGTCTTCATGCCAAACCCAAGCACTGTTTGCCTCAAGAGAAGAAGAAATCTCTCCCTGCAGTGCAGCCTCACAGCAGTGCCGAGCACTTCGTGTTGGTCGCTGCTTCCAGTTGGATGTGAGACTGGATGGACCGCTCACCGGTACGGGATGGGAGTGCTGTGTGCTGGCAAGAGTCAGGCCTAGAGCAGCACCATTACCTGATCGAGGCTTCACAAACACCCACGACAATATTTGTTCTTACAAATTTATTTCCAACTCCTCTGCCATCTGCAGCGAGGCCGGGCGGGGGGTGCGCTGGCACATCCCCCGGGAGGCAGCGTGCGGCGCCCAGCGCTCGCACATGGGGCGGCGTTCCCTTCGGCTGGAGGGCAGCAGAAGGACAGAGCGTAACCCTGGTCCCTGCTGAGCATTGTTTCTCGGTGTTTTGTGTTTCACATACAACTGCAGTGTTGCAAATGGCAATAACCATAAACCAACAGAGGCTGCTTATTCATTTTAGGATGCACTTCTGTGGGATGCAGTGCTCTAGTGCAACAAATGTGCGGAAGGTTCCTCCATCGTGTCTTCAACGCGATATACAAAGACTGAGCCTTTCAGTATCGCTGAGTTCCGATGTGCGGGACCCCCCAAATGCGTATCTAGAACAGCCACCTACTGCAGAAAACGTTGGTGTATCTGCACTCCTTCCAAGAAAATCACCTCCCAGGCTGCCCTCGAGCTGTACCGTGGGGGTTCACGGCACCGAGGCCGGGAACGGCTCTGGGTTTATTCAGCCATCTAAATGATCTGTTGCATTGGGTATTAAATTGAGTTTTCTAGTAGAGGTAAGGTCAGTGAAGCGGTGATTTTAAGTGAACTTTGTAGCTTCCCTTTGATGAGAGTCAAGATGGTAAATATCCCTCATCGCTTCTGGTTTGGGTATCTCTTCTTTCTCATATTGTACTGCAACAACAATAACATTAAGCAGCCTCTCTTCCTGTAACCCGGATTAAAGACCAAAATAAAATCACGGTCCCACGGTGTTAAAGCAGGGAGATAACCACGGGAGAGCAGGAACCCGCACTCACCTGGCTCTTGCTGCGTTCTCCTAGACGGGCACAGCTGGCACCGCAGGTGACAGCCACCAGGGGTCAGCTGGACGACGGCTGCGACCTCCGATCGTTCTGCGATAGAAATACCTGGGGTCGTTAAAGTAGGCATTGTGTTAGAGGAGCCCTTATAGCAGGCTATAAGATCCCATGAGAAGACTAGTTTAAGGCATTAATTGTTTCTTAATATTCTCAAACAAGTTCAGCCTGCTTTTCATCCTGATACAAATTTAGCATAAGTATTTTGGAGCTTGTCTTCATTAGAAAAAGACATCAAGAAAGGATGTGGGTAGTTAATCCCAATAAATGCATGCTTAAGCCTTAGACCTCTACATTTTTCCCAGTAATTATGAATGCTTTTGGGGAATTCTGTCTACATTAAGCGTTGCTGTCACAGACGAACTGCAAGGGCTCTTTCTCGTCCCACAGGTCCCGCGAGCCAAGGCCCTGTACACCTACCGAGGGCACAACCCCGGGGAGCTGCGGTTCAACAAGGGGGACATCATCGTGCTGCTCCGACAGCTGGATGAGAACTGGTACCTGGGGGAGGTCAATGGCATCAGCGGCGTTTTCCCAGCCAGCTCCGTCCAAGTCATCAAGCACCTGCCCCTGCCACCGCCCCTGGGCAGAGCGCTCTACGGCTTTGACCTGCGGAGCAGGGAGAAGACGGAGAACAAGGACTACCTGACGCTCCATAAGGTAATGCCACCCGCAGCGTCCTGGGGCTGGGCCACACGGGCCGGGCTGTTCCCTTCCCTCGGG